GGTCCCTGCGGGCTACTGAGCGGGTGAGGGAGAAGCCCACCTGTGAGTCTTGGGTGAGGGGACCCGGGGCGCCGGGACCCACGTCCCAGGCAGGGAAACTGAGGCCGGGGGCGCAGGCTGAGTGAGGCCGGTGCTTCCAAGTCTGGGAGGGCGCCTGGTCCCTTCCCCAGTCTTGCGCTCCATGCGCACGCAGCTGTAAGGAGCCTGGGGAGCTGGGGGAGTCACCTAGCCAGAGCCCAGGTCCCCGGCTTGGAGCAGTCCCAAAGCGGGGGAGCCCGGAGGGTGGGGACCGCCATCGCAGCTGCCTTGAGCAGTGCGCCCCGCGTGCTTCCTGGCGGGAGCAGTGAAGGGCAGGGGCGCGCATCCCTGAGCTGAGGGAAGGCCGAGGCCGTGCCTATGGGCGCTGGGAAAGCCTGTGGTCCTGGAGTTTGCCCGCTGAGGGTTCGGAGAAGCCAGGGACCGGTCCCCAGCCCCCGCTGAGCGCGAATGTTGGCCCCGTCCCTCTTCCCTTCCTCTGTGAGGGCGACGATCCTTGCCCTACCTTCCCTTTGGTCCTGTCCTGAACCCAGTGAGGACTCCCTACCGGTCCAGGCCCGCCCCAGCCTCGTCGCCTTCCTGGCCCTCCAGCCCCTCCAAGACGCTTTCCCAGGCTTGGCTAGAGAGCCCTGCTGGGAGCCGCCCAGCCTCTTCCCATATCCCTCTGCTGCCTGCCTGCCCCATCTGAGTCTCCTGCAGACCCGGAGGGTTTAGATCAGACTTCAAGGATCTTGCCAGCAGGTTGGGGTAGGCAGGCGAAGATGCAGCCACTTCCTTTAGCTGAGTTGTTATGAGGCCCCCACCTGTGCTACCCTGAGTCCAGGGAGATTCAGGGACCCAGGCCAGGGTGGCCTTCCGCCCAACACAAGCAGCCAGCCCACGCAGGCAATCTCCTAATGGGGTCCTGGCAGGCGGATCTCAGCATCACTGGCCTTCCCAGCTCCCAAGCCTCTGGTTCAGGCAAGTGGCCTGGTGGATTTCAGGCAGGAACATTCCAGTGAACATATAACCCCTTGGTTGGCAGGACTTGCTCCAGGGCCATCCCTGAAGTCATCTGGGAGGGCACTGGCAACCTTCCCTGCTGCCCAGTTTTGGATGCCCAAAGGGCCCCTGGGGCAGGCTCCCTCCCACCCACCTGGCTTCTGAATTTAGGGCCCCCTCACATCAGGTCCCTTTGTCTCTGGGGGTCTCCCGGCTCCCCTGCTGCAGTGCATACCCAGGGGCAGCAGTGTCCCAGCTCCCAAGGTGCCACAAAAGCAGCTGCCAGGAGGGCCTACAGAGTTAGGGTCAGCACCGTGGGGGATGGAGCTGGTCCAGCCCAGTTAGTTGATCAGATCTGGTGCAGTTGGGAAGTTTCGTGCCGTCCCTGGCCACAGAGACTGAGCCAGGCTCATGCTCCTGGCTGGCACCAGGAGCCAGCCTGGGCTTCCGGTTCTTCAGCACCCCATTTGTCACTTGCCCACCCCCACTCCCACCCAGCAGGCCACTGAGCAGGGGACGTAACCCCAGCCTGGTCAGAGGCAGTGGGGCCCTGGCATCCCACTGGTAAAGAACAAAGACAAAGTGGCAGATGCCACAGGCAGCCCCCAGTCCTGGCCCCCACCCAGGACAGGCCTGGCTCTCTGGCGTGGGCAGACTCGCCCCTTCTGCTCCCATGGTGGGGAGGCTGCGCCCTCTGGTGGCCCCCAGCAGGGATGACGCTAGAGAGCTTCCGGCCCCAGGGGCAGAAGACTGCAAGGGCTGGGCCCTCCAGATCTCCCTGGGGCACCCACTGGGGGTTTGGGTCTCAGCGCCAATGAGGAGAAGGGCCGCTTTGTGCGAGTGACCCAGCCTATGCCAGACAGCACTGAGCCCAGCAGTTGGGAGGGGCTGCCAAGCCCAGCCCAGGGTCTCTGCACAAAGCTGGATTGAGGCCTCGGCTGTGAGGGTAGCGGAGGGTGGCCGTTCAGGCTGTACTGGAGCAGAGCAGAGGAGCCACTGGGGCTCCTGGGCCTGTCCCCACTGCAGTGCCCATGGGCCTGGGTTTGTCCCCTTGATTCCTGAGTCTGATGCCCACAGCAAAAAGTGTAAGCCCTGCAAAGGTTCTGGGGGTGCGGTCATTTCCCTAGGATCAGGAGGTGGGCATATGCTCCTGAGTCTCCAGTCCCCTGCTGTTCTTGCTTGCAGTCCATCTTGGTGGAGAGGTCCTATAGGATGACCGGGTCTCCCCTTGGGTTTCATTGCACGGATGTCACCTCCTTAACCAGGCCTGGGGGGACATGCCAGCTGTTTTGAGTTCCGTGCCACCACTAGCAGCCACTGTGTGCTTGTGATGGATCCTGGATCTATCTGCTGGGGCAGGCCCAGGAGTTGGTGCATGGTGACTGGTTTGGCCAAAGTCCTTCCAAGTTTCTCCTCTGATTTCTGCTCCCAGAAACATCTGGTGCTGTCACCTGGCACACACTGAGGGGGTTCTGGTCACCTCCCAGAGGGCTGACAAGATGGTACTGGGACAGCAGCAAGCGGGAGGCAGGACACCAAAGCACACATCAGCCTGCATGTCCCCTTCCTGGGCACTGGCACCCTCAGGCCTGGACACAACCAGCCACAAATGCCCTCAGCACCAGCACCCAAGCAAGCCTGTAGCTGCTCTGTACCCTCAGCTCTATGTCCCCACCTGGCTCAGGGCCCAGGATGTCCCCTGCACCCACCTGAGCCCTGAGAACGTCAGCTGTCACCCTGGTCCTGCACTCAGAGGTGAGAGGGTGCTGCGCTGGGGCCGGGGGCAACTCAGGGCTGGGCACTCACCTGGCATGTACAAGGCCCTGGGTTTGATCTTTGGCACCAAAACAAAACAGTAACACTGAGAAGGAGGGCATCGCTGTATCCCTTGCTTCGTGGTCCCCTCTCGATGGCCGTCAGGACCCAGGCTGCTGCTCACCTGCTCT